GGAATAAAGGCATGTGCCACCACAAATAGATTAAAGTTTTCTTTATGTGTCTTAATTTGACTTTAGTAGCAGCATAATACTGACCTCACAAAGAGTTTAAAAGTGTTCTTTTTTTTTCGTTTTTATGGGATTATTTGAGAAAGATTGGGAGTAGTTCTTTAAAGTTCTGATGGAATTCTTCAGTGAATCCATCTGGATCTGAGCTACTTAGATAAAAATTTTTAAGTATGTATTTTAAGAAATTAAGTGTTTGTGTGTATGTGTCTGTATTCGGGTATGTACATTTAAGTGCAGGAGACGACGGAAGTTAAACATTGGATCCTCTGAAGCTGGAGGTACAGTTGACTATGAATTGAACTCAGGTCTTCTGCAAGAACACTATGTGCTCTCAAACTCTGAGCCACCTCTCCTGCCCCAGGACTTGGGCTAGTTTTTGTTGGGGGTTCTATTATCATTTTTAAAAACTGATTCAGTCTTGTTGCTTATTATAGATGTCTATATTATAATATCTTGGTTTTACATAGATGGTTTACATATATACATATCTACACACTTAAATTCATTCACTTCTTTTACATTTTCCTATTTAGTGGAGTAAAAAATATAAGTTTATTAAAGGTATGCCTCTTTAATTTTTTAAATTTCAGTGGTATCTGTTGTAATGTGCCCCTTTTCATCTCTAATTTTGTTTTGGGTTACTCTGTTGGTTAGGATTCTTTTTCAATCAATATTGTTTCTCTTTAAAGAACTAATTCATCTTTGTTTTTGTTTCTTTATCATTAATTTCTGCCTTAATCTTGGTGGTTTATTTCCATTTACTGCTTTTGGGTTTGATTTGCTCTTTTTGGAGGCATTATTATTATTATTATTATTATTATTATTATTTTAGGTACTTAGAACCATAAATGTCCTTTCTAGGACTATCTTTTGCATCCCATAGGTTTTGGTATACTGTATTTGCATTTCCATCCAATTCTAGAAATTTTTTTGGTTTCCCTTCTTTATTTATTCAGCAACTTACTCATCCAATACCATAATGTTTAATATTAAGAGTGTTTTTCTTTTTTTTTTTTTTTTTTTTGTAGTTTTCTTGCTTTTGATTTCTAGCTTTATTTTACTGTGGTCAGATAGAATACAAGAAGTTATTTGAATTTTCCTTTGTTTATTGAGAATTGCTTTATGTAGTAATATATAATCTATTTTAGACAAAGTACCACAAACTGTTGAGAAGAATGTGTATCCTGTAATTCTTAGATAGAATGTTTTATAGATATTTGTTATAGCTCTGTACATATTTAAATGTTATTTACATGCATGTGCGTAGTTTGTGAGAGCATGTAATGCCTGTGGGCATAGCAGAAGCCAGGAGGGAATGTGGATGTAGGGCAGCTGTGAACCACCTGTCATAGGTGCTGGACTGAACTCAGAGCCTCCTGGAGGAGGTGCTCATAAACTACGAAGCCATCTCTCTAGCCCGTTATCTTACTTTATGCGTGGATGTTTTGCCTGAATGCATATATGTGCACCAGTGTGTGCTTGGAGTCCTTGGAGGCCAGGAGGATGGTTGTAAGCCGCCACATGGGTGGTGGGAACCAACCTAGATCCTCTGCCAGAAAAGCATGTACTTTTAAGTGCTGAGCCATCTCTTCAGCCCAGTGTTTAGTAATATTGATGAAACTGGGTAGACCTGTGTTCAGTGCATATATGTTTAGACTATCATTTCTTCTGAAAAGATTGTTCCCTTAACCATTAGCCACTAAACCTTATTCTGGCTAGTTAGTATTTGATGTTTATTCTGTCAGACAATAGAATAAGGATATTTGCTTGTTTCCTGGTTCCCTTTGCTTGGAATACCTTTCTCTAGCGGTTTCCCTACAACAGTTTATTTTTGATAGTGAGGTGAGTTTCTAGGAGGCAACAAATTAATGGGCCTTGTTTTAGATCCAATTTGTTAGTCTGCATCTTTCAATTGGGAAATTGAGGCCATTAATATTCAAAATTATTATTGAAAAGTGTGTAATAATTCCTGTCATTTGATTTTGTAGTTTTTTCCTATTCTTCATTTACATTACTTTCTAACATGATTTATTTTTTCCCCCTATAGCCTCTCTGGTGTGTTTATTCTATTAAGTCTGAAGAATCCCTCCTAGTGGCCTCTGTAGGGCTAGCTTAGTTCTTCCTCTAGCCTACCTTTATCATGGAAGGCCATTTGCCATCGATCATGATGGATAGTTATGCTGAGAATAATGGCAGCTGTGGTCTTTCGGAACTTTCCATGTTTATTGAAACATCACTTGTTATTCTGATGGGCTTGTCTTCATGAATGACTTGTTTCTCCATACTGATACAGGTTCTGTAGGGCACACCCTCAAGATGTCCTTAAACCTGCTTTGATGGCTGTGCTTGGCCATGTTCCCTGCTGTGGTAGTGAGGAGCAAGTTGTGGATTTCACAAAAGTAAGTCAGGGAGATGGCAGAAACTGTTGATTCTGTGATATAATATTCTTACTCTTTTTGTTTCCCTAACTCACTCAGATGTGGCTTTTTTGTTTTTTGAGTAGGGTCTCTCTATGTAGTCCTGGCTGTCCTGGAGCTTGCTGTGTAGACCAGGCTTGCCTCAAACTCAGAGATTCTTCTACTTCCTCCTTCCAATTGCTGGGATTAAAGACATGCATCATCGCTCATGCCCAGCCCTCAGACATGACTTGTAAGCCACCATCCTGTCCAGAAAAAAAAGCTCACCCCATCCTGTGCGCCTTTTAAAAAATTAAATACATGGTTTTATGTAGTCCAGTCTGTCCTTGAACTTGGTATGTAGCTAAGGATGACCTTAAACTTCTGATACTCCTAACATCCTGAATGCTGGGGGATTATACTTGTTTGTGTAGTGCTGAGGATGGAACACAGAGCTTTGTGGGAGCTAGGCAAACAGTTTACAAACTGTTACATCCTCCATCCCTAATTTCACTAGAGCATATTTAGAAGAACATTAGAAAATTTAGAGTATCATAATTAAGGTTTAATCCAATGTTGGGCATAGTAGTGTATGTGACAGAGCTTATGGAAGAATGAGGCAGAAGAATGCCTTGAACATAGGAATCCTAGGTCATCCTGGGTAACAGAAGGATCCCCTCCCTCTCTCAAAAAAGATTAGTTTCATTAAAATAATCTAAATGTACAAATAATGTAAAATAAGTATATGTACTTACATATGTAGCCTATATAATGCATATTTTTTCAGTAGTTTTCTTCCTGAGTTTAAGAATTAGACTGGGGAGACAGTGCAGTCAGAAAAGCATAAGCCTGAGGACCATACTTAGATCTCTAGAACCATGAGAAAAAAACCTGGCGTCTGTAATCCCAGTGCAGGGGAGATGGAGACAGGATGCTCTCTGGAGCTTGCAGGTCAGCTAGGCTAACTTACCAGGCAAACTGAGGTCCAAGTGATAGACTATCAAGACTATCATCTACTTGGACAAAAAAACAAGTAGATGGCTCCTGAGGTCTACCACCAAAGGCTGACCTCTGGCCTCATGTTCACATACTTGTACCAGCATACATGTGTGTCTGCAGGCACACATCAGAAATATTTACTTTTTTCATTTATGTTCTTTAAGTTATCTAAGATAGATGACAAATCACTGTATGTGGAATGACAGTTATTTTAAAATGTAGCTATCCTAAAAATAGCTTCTTTTTCTATTGCAATTATTTATGGACACGATACTTAACATTTCAGTAACTTAAAAATTTAATTAACTCTGTGTTTGGATATTTTGCCTGCCCGTATGTCTGTTCACCACATGTGTGTCTGGTTCCTCTAGAGCAGTAGTTTTCAACCTTCCTAATGCTGTGACCCATGTTTTGGTAAGCCCTCAACATAAAATTATTTTATTGCTACTTCATAACTGTAATTTTGCCACTGTAATGTATTATAATGACCCACAGGTTGAGAACTGGTGCTAGAGGCTAGAAGAAAGTATTGAACCCCCTGGAACTGAAGTTCCAGAAGTTGTAAGCTGCCATGTGGGTGCTGGGAACCTAACCCCAGTCTTCTGGAAGAGCAGTCAGTGCTCTTAACTGTGGAACCATCTCTCCAGCTGCTTCAATAACTTTGTGAACCAATATGAAGACACCAAATATTCATCAAGGAATGAACCACCTGCCTTCCTTGGTCCTGAGTAGAAACTGTGTATAGGACATTATTTTATAGGCAAGAGGTCTTTTTGAGAGGGACCTAGATCTTTGGTCTAACCAGGAGACAATAGTAGAAAGAGATATGTAAATTCACACTACAACCAAGGCATGTTTGAGAGTGCTAAGGAAAGGGAAAGATGATTTCAGCTGGGAACATGAGGCTATGATGGTATGTTCACATGTATGTGGGTGGCTGAAAGTGCACTTCTGTACAAGCAGGTAGAGGGTAGAGGTTGACGTCAGGGGTCTTTCCTAAGTGCTGTCCACTATTTACTGACAAACAAAGCTCTCACTGATTCAGCTAGTCTACTTAGCTACCTGGCCCAAGAGTCCTTTGTCACTGTCTCCTGAGTACTAAAATTACAGGTGGGGCCCCCGGACCTTGGCTTTTAGTGCTGGACATCTGAACTCTGGTCCTCAAGCCTGCATGGAATGGCTTTATCTACTGAGCCACCTCTCCAGCCCCACCATCTGCTATTTCTTCCTTCTTTAACTTACTACAGAACTAGTGCAGAATAAAAGAACTAACATTTGGAGAATCTATTCCACATTCTTTAAATACTCACCAATTGTATTTCTCTTTCCTGGGAAGAGTATCTTTCCCTTACCTTTATGTGGGTAACAGCTCTTCCCTTGATACAGTGTGACCATGGAGTCTATGCTTCTGCTTTCCTAGACTGAGCTCTACGAGGACAGCGGCAGTCTAACTTCCTACTGTGTCTAGGCTGGCTCAGTTTTCTAGGTATACACCACCTTCCTCCCAAGCTTTGAACACGTGTTTACATCTTGACAACAAAAATTTACCTGGTAGGGTTCCGTTTATCTTCCTCAGAAATCAAAAACCAAACAAAATCTGCATAGCTCATTCTTCCCTCTTTTTGCACTGTTTTTCCTCTGAAGAAAAGACATGGTTATAACATTTCCTGAGCAATTAAGAAATAAAGTAACATCTTTAGAAATTTACTAAATTAAAAAAAGATGAATTCCTCATAAAGCTGGTAGTTCAGAAAGCGTAACCTCTTTGAGGCTTATTTTCAAGGGCCTAAAGGTAGAACTGGAAGACATTTGCCTCAGTGGAAAAAAAAAAAAAAGTTATGGTACTAGAGTTTGAACTTAAAGCCTAATACAGGGTAGCACTCTACCACCAAGTAACAGCCTTACCCTTCTTTTTACTTTTAATTTATTATTTCGTTAACTAATATTTCTGAGGCAGGGTCTCACTATGTAGCCTTTAGTGGCTGGAACTAAAAATATTGACCAAACTGATCTTGAGCTCACAGAGACCCACTTGCCTGTGTCTCTGTGGCTAGGATTAAAGGCATGTACCATCATGTCCAGCTTACTTTTAGTTTTTTGAAACAATGTTGTATTAAATTGCCTAGGCAGGTCTTGAACTGACTCTGTGGCCCAAGAAAGCTTCAGTTTAAGTCTTCTGCCTTAGTTTACTAAGTATCTGGGGATTATAGGCCCATGCCACTAGGTCTAGCCCTAGTTTCCAATGTGATAACCAATGGCATGAGCTTTTTTTTTACTTATATATAGACAGTGGATTAATATTAAGGAATTACTGTCTTTTATTAAGCCCAAACTGCATGCTTTCTAGATATAATTTGACTTAGTAGCCCTGCAAGATTATGCAGAAGCTTTTCTAAAATGAAATTACTGCAGTAGTATAGTTCATTTTGCAACTCAAGTATTATTTCATTTTTTATTAATTTTTTGCTAGCCCACTAAATAAAATTCAAACTTTAAATTTTTCGTACCTTGTTACTGCTCCAGAAAATATTCTTTCAATAATTCTATTGGATGAAGCTAAATGTAAATAAGAATTACAGTTAGTTAGAAATACTCCTGACAAATTTGTTTTTATTTGCTAAAGCTAAGCCTAAACCATAATAATCTCCCACAGTGAGAATATCAGTAGTCAAATTCTTTACTTTTTTTGAGACAGGGTTTTATGTATCCCAGGGTATACTCTATCTTGATATATAACTGAGTTATATCTTGATATAACTTGATATATAACTTGAACTTCTGATCCTCCTGCCTCCACTTTGAGTGCTGGCATTATAGCTGTGCACAGTGGTGCACAGCATATGTTGGGCTGGGAATCAAACCCAGGCCTGTATATATGCCAGCCAAGCACTCTACCAACTCAGCTACATCCTAACCCCTAAATTCTTAAAAACATATATGTGAGTGTGTGTGTGCATTAAAATTTATTCATTAGGGGCTGGAGAGATGGCTCAGAGGTTAAGAGCACTGGCTGCTCTTCCAGAGGTCATGAGTTCAATTCCCAGCAACCACATGGTGGCTCATAACCATCTATAATGAGATCTGGTACTCTTTTTCTGGTGTGCAGGTCTACATGCAGATAGAACATTGTATACATAATAAATAAATAATTAAATAGATAGATAAATAAATAAATAAATAAATAAATATTTATTTATTCATTGAAAACTTCATACCTTTATACAATGCATTTTGAGCCTATTCATCCACAATTACCTCTCTGTAACTCCAAGTGTTTCTTATCCTGTCTCTTTCCCAATTCCATGACATCCTTTTCCTTTTTAGCATTAATAATCCGTGAGTCCTATTAATGCTTCTCATATGCACCTGTGTGTGGGGCTTCTGTGAGGGCACGGGTAAACTACCATTGGCAAAATACCTGAAGGAGAATGGGTCTTCCTTCCTCAGTAATGATCAACCACCAAAATCTCTGTCAAGGGTGGGACCTGGTGGGGGGAACCTACCCCCATCTGTGCAGAAAGTTTGTCTCTCCAGGTCCTAAATTCTTTTTTTTTTTTTTTTTTCTAAATTCTTAACTTACACATAATTTATACTTTTTAGAAGATCAGGTAGGTTTAAACTATCAATCATTAATTTGAAAGAGGAGGCAAATGAATGTACCTGACATCTGTTTAGTTATTTATATAGTTAAGTTCTAAGTTTATTCTCAACATTCTGATAACTAAGACACAGAATTTGTATTGATTTTGTTATCTAATAAAACAAGACAAATTTTCTTCTAAAACAAGTTAAATTTATCCTAGTATTAAATTCAAGGTTGTAAAGTTGTAAAGGTTGTAAACTGATTGTAAAGGTCCTGAAACAAAGGTAAATGAAGATTTTTCCAAGCAGCATTAGAAAAGATACCAAGACAGATCATAAACATACTTTTCTTATATACCCATTCATTAAGAGTCTAAGACATCATATAAAAGAAATTCCATCAACAAATGACTTGTTGTTGTTGTTATTGGTTCTGCTGAAGAACTGAACCAGAGCTTTGCACACGCTCCACTGAGCTGCATCTTCAGAAAGTGTGTTATTGTTGATGACAGAGCCTAGAAAATGTACAGCAGTATACCTTTATAGATTCAAAGTAGCTGAACAGGGGAAGGAGGGAGGGAAGGAGGGAGGGAGAGAGAGAGAGAGAGAGAGAGAGAGAGAGAGAGAGAAAGGGAAATGGTAGGGCAGGAGAGGGGGAGGGAGAGAAGGGAGGAGGGAAGAAGGAGGCCTAGGGATCTCCAGCCCTGTTCTTTTAACTAGTACTCCAGGCAATGGGATGCATATTATACCAAGGAATTCAAAAGAGAGTTAGCACCAACCAGCATCTCTTCTCCTTAGAGTTAGTCGATTTGGCTAGGAAAATTAGGAATACATGTGGCAAGATAGCCAGCCATACCTGGCTTAGTCAGTCTCCCTTGGCACTGGAGCTACAGACATTGTGAACTGCTATGCACGTGGTGGGATGGAGCATGAGTCCTTTGTAAGGGCAGTAAGTCTTCTTCACTGCTGAGCCAGCACTCCTGCTCCCTAGTGTCTTTTTGAAACGGTGGTTTTAGCTTTGGAATGTTTATTATCCTAAACTTAAACGCTGTGTTCTGAAACAGAATTAGGTGAGTGGACAGAAATGTAGATTTTCACATCCCCTTCGCCGTGCCATTAATATTGATCCAATCAGTATTGAAAATACTTGGAAACTTGATGGCAGTAAGAACGGGAGAGGGAGCTTTAGAGTGATGGGTTGTGTAAGACCTCTGGAAGCTGGCTCACAACCATGTCAACAGGAACATGCTACTAAGGATGTCCTGATACTCTCATGAATGCGTTAATCTTTGTTATTTTGATGACAGAAAGATTTTGACTATCTGAAGGAGGAAGGCACCAGCACTAACGTTTACCAAATAAGTACACCTGAGTATTTGCCCACAATTCCTGCTCGGCACCCAAGAACTTGAGAGAGAACTCTATGTTCCCTACTTAGACAGAGTCTGTGTTGTCCAGGCAGGCCTCCAAACACGGGGCCACAGAATCCTCCTGCTGTAGCTACTTCAGAATCTGAGGCCACAGGCCTGGGCCACTGTGCTTGGCTCCAAACCAAAGCTCTGTTCCTGAAATGTGCAAAGATCTATGAAACTTATCAGATAAAATGAGCTATATAGGGTAGGGATCCAGCTTAATGGTAGAGCATTGCCAAGCACAGCTGAGGGCCTGGGTTCAATCCCAGCACTAAAAAAAAAAAAAAATAATCATTCACAAAGTGGGGGTTGTCACATCCCATTAGAGATATACCAAATGACAGAAACAAAATCTAGCACATTAAAGATTTGTTCTCTATCTCTAAAATGACAAAATCTGATTTGAAAAGTTGCTAAGAAGATATTTAAAGATAGACTAAAGATAGTCTCATGAGAAAGGAATGTACTTAGTTAAGCATATTCCACATCAGGAGCCAACAAGATGGCTCAGTGGCTAAGGACACTTGCCACTAAGCTTGATGATCCAAGCTTGATCCCTGGAGGCCACACAGTGGAAAGAGAGGACAACTAACTCTAGTTGTCCACTGACCTCTACATGAAGTACACCTGTCCCTCTGCCTTTCTCATACACTGGATTTAAATAAAAAAAATTAAAATTTACGTATCAGTATCACTAAGTAAGTTCCAACTTATAAAAAGAAAAATAAAATCCAGGCCTTATAACGTGGTATATGAAAGAAAGCATATGAAATCCATCTGTAGAGAAACTATCTTTATGGAGTTAAAAAAGCTTAAACATATTTTAATTATGTGTGTTTGTGTGTGTACAAGCATGTGAGTGCATGTGCCTTCAGAGGCCAGGGAATCTATAAGATGCCCTGGAGGAGTTAGAAGAGACCGTGAACTGTGGGGTGTGGGTGTTGAACCCAAACTCCAGAAGAGTAGCAAGTGCTCTTCACCACTGAACCATCTCCCTACCCCGGCCCCCCAAAAGTAAATTTTTATAAAGAGTCCTGGAAGATGAAATCTGAGGCAGGCCAGCTTGGTTTACAAAGTAAGTTCCAGTTCAGCCAAAGGAACACAGAAAAAGGGGGAAAATAAATTTCATTCTTAGCTTTCATAGAAATATTGATATTCAAATTAAACTTGCACATGTATCTGATTATTACCTGATACACACTACCACTTTAAAACTGGTTACTGAACTCCAAACTCCTTCTCTGCTCTCTAAGTTTAAAACATTCTCTTGGGCTAGGTGTGGTGGCACACACCTTTAACCCAGCACTGGAGAGGCACAGGCAGGCAGTTCTATGAGTTTGAGGCCAGCCTGGACTAAAGTGAATGAACAAAAATTGTATCTTTGTTCATTCCCATGTAAAAATTATTGGCCCTATAAAGAGACTTACTTATAGAATTTAAGAAAGGAAATTTCTCTTAACAGGGGAAGACAACTGATACAAGTTTTAAAGTAAGATTAGTATCTATAGAATCACTCACCCTGGTCATTGTATCGAGACAGATCAGCTTGGCTGATATACAGGTCATGATCACCATCTAGCTCCCAGAATTTACAGTAAATGACATAGAAGTGTTCGTAAGAGAAGTAATCTGTGATTTGGTTTATATCTTCTTCTTCCTCCAGAAGGGCCAGAGTCTGAAATGAATAAAATAATTAATTTTAAAATGATGTACAATTAGCATTGGGTATCATAGAGTCTATAACATTTCTGTTTGTTAATTTAAAATTTGCTTTTGGTACTAAACCAGGAACTTGTGTGTGCGTGTGCATGTGTTTGTTTTGAGACAGGGTTTCTCTGTGTAGCTCCTGCTGTCCTGGAACTTGCTTTTTAGATCAGGCTGGACTCAAACTCATAGATCCTCCTGTCTCTGCCTCCTAAGTGCTAGGATTAAAGGCATGTGCAAACACACCTGGCCAAACCAGAAACTTTTAAATAAGTAGCCGCCTACTTTTCACAAAATAACAGTCCCAATTTTTCAAAATTACATGAACAATATTAAGAAGAATGGGAATCTGCATATTACGTTTAGCTTTGTAATGGAATCAAGTTTACCATAAGCATTACTTATATATACAATTGTGGTTACATACGGTGGCTTGAAATAGAAGGCAGTGGGTGGAGCTATGGGCTCTGAGCTAGATGTAAATCTCAGTCTGTTTGCACTTCTAGTGGAAATAACAGAAACAATGGCTTTTGTATCAATAATTCTGTAGTTATCCAAATTATCATTTAAGTAAAATGAATACATTTTCAGCAATGAAAGGAACTTTAAGAAAACTTAACAGAAAAATAAGTCAGAGATAAATATAAATGGGCTAAAGAGTCTTATTAAAATATTTTTGATAGAATATTTAAAAATCCCTCAAAACAGATAGATGCATATACTGACTTTGTATGTCTGTTGGGGCTTGTGAGATGGCTCAATGGTAAGGGTGCTTGCTACTAAGCCTGGTAAATTAACTGCATTTGATACCAGAGTCCACAGTGTGGAAGGAAAGAACAGATCCCTGACTTCTGACCTCCACTTGCTCACAGACACCACACACAAATGTAATAAAAAGTTTATAAAAGAAGTGTGTCCAAAATAAAAGAGGCTTATAAAAAACAAACATATACTAGCTAAGTGTTAATAAAAAGAAAAATAGCTAACAATACTAATTGGAAATAAAGTAGAATTACAAGGCAGAAAACAAAAGACAAAGACTTTTGTAACATATATATTACTCTTAAAAATTATTTTTAAAATGTTTACAATAGGAAATGATTTTATAAATTGAAAAAATCATTATGTGAATCTGTTTAATGTTTAATAAGACTATGAAGTAAGCAAATTTTGATTATAGTCTTTATAAACAAAAGAAAACCATGATGTGGTATAAGTGTACATTAACTCCTGTTGTTGGCTGCCATCCTGCCCTGCTTGGGTCCCCTAAGAGCAAGAGAATGAAGAAAGGACAGACAGACAAGCGGGCATCCATACCGGAAAGCTGAGATCTGGCGGGATCTTAGCGCTATCCTGCAACCTCAGGGTGTTTATTAGGTACTGCACAGGGTGTGTGTGTGTTGGAGGGGGGGGCTAGTCTCAGCAGGAGGCCTCTGTATGTGCGCCCTATCAGGCTGTAAACATCCAGGAGGAAGAAGCCACACTTGCTAGTTTTTGCACACACATAAACGCACATACTTTGGACTCAAGAAAAGCTTTGCCATTTCCCTTGAGCGTAGACCATGAGTCAAACTGCCAATGTCCCACTGGCTAACTGTTCCTGGCGTCCCTCACAGGCTGTGCCCATGTCAAAGTACACGCCCACCCAGGACTTGGCTCACTCAGGGCTTCGTCTGGTCCCTTGTTAATGAATATGTAAGGGGAACGATGAATTTGATTTTTCAATGGCTAACTTTACAGGATCCATTAAAGTAGCATTTGAGCCAGCATTGTTTTCCTTTAGCAGCCTATTTGAGAGAAATTCTTATTCATATAAACAGAAGTATAAGGTTCAAGAATGTTCATCACATGGTCTAAGCCTCAATAGAGGAATATATACTCAGTTACAGCTTAGACACGCAGTCAGTCATGCAGTACAGACAGAAATGGAAAGAATCCTGAGACATTCTGAAATGAAAAGAAAACCCAACCGAATTTATAAAGTACTGAGTATCCTCCCCACACTTTGAAAGGGACCCTGTAGAGTCAGTGGGATGGCTTAGAGGGTAAAGGAACCTGCTGCCAAGCCTGAATCCCTGAATCTGACCCCTGAGATCACATAGTGAGAACCAACTCTGGCAAGCTGTCCTTCTGACGGTAGTGCTTGTGAATGAATGAATGAATGAATGAATGAATGATCCCTCTATATAGGAATCTCATAAAACAAAACTATATACCACATACATAAAACGAGACTACAGGGGCTGGAGAGATGCTCAGTGGTTAAGAGCACTGGCTATTCTTCCAGAGAACCCAGGTTCAATTTCCAACACCCACATGGCAGCTCACAACCCTCTGTAATTCCTGTCTCAGGGGCGTGGCACTCTCTTCTGGCTTCTGAGTGCACCGAACACACATGAGGTGCACATACACAGACAAAATCCTTATACATATAGATAAATGAATAAAATTTAAAATAAAAACACGGATATATGACTTCTCTTTATGGGAGAGTGCATGAAATGTTGAATGAAGAGATAAACAATGATTTTTTTTTTCTTTTTCTGAGACAGCGTTTCTCTGTATGTAGCCCTGGACATCCTGGAAATCACTCTGTAGATCAGACTGGCCTCGAACTCACAGAAATACGCCTGCCTCTGCCTCCCAAGTACTGGGATTAAAGGCAAGTGCTACTACCACCTGGCATAAGCATTGAGTTTTGATTTTTTAAATCTGAATATATTCATAGAACTAGAATGTTTTGAGCATTTGTTTGTGGACTCAGAAGAAGACTGAGGATATGAGAAAGAAAAAAAAAAAAAGGAAAAGGAGGGAAAAATAAGTCACCTAGTAGAGAGAGAACATTTGATTTCTACTTTCAGTTCTGCAACCTACTAGCTGTGTGCTTCTATGCAAGTTACTGAACTATACCGGAGTCTCAATTATATAATTATAAAAAGAATTTATTAAAATATTATTTATTATTTATACTAATTTTAGTTAATATAAATATGCTTGTATTTATAATTTATATTTATTTATATTATTGTTTGTTATTTATCATAAGCTTAGGAGTGCAGAAATGGCTCAAGGGTTAGGAGGACTTGCTGTTCTTGTAGAGGATCTGGGTTGAGTTCTCAGCACCCACGTTGCGGCTCACAGTGATTCATAACCCAGTTCCATGGGACCCAGCACCCTTTTCTTACATCCTTGGGAACAGGCCCACACATAGTGGATACACATATATGCATTAAAAATGTTAGAAATTATAATTTTTGAGTTAGAAGAAAATTACTGCCTTAACTTATTTTTTAATACTTTCTCAGAGCCCAGGCAGGCATCAGATGTTCTATAAATGTCAACAATGACTGTAATGATGACTGTTCATTTTAGAGCAGTGGTTCTCAACATTCCTAATGCTGCGACCCTTTAATACAGTTCCTCATGTTGTGGTGACCCCCAACCATAAAATTACTTTCATTGCTTACTTTATAACTAAATTTTGCTACTGTTAGGAATTTTAATGTGAATATCTGATATGCAGGTCTGTGACCCCTGTGAAAGGGTCTGTTGGAGGCTGGTCTGATGCCTGTGACTGCCTTCAAGATCTGGTTACACCTATCCTTGTTTTGTAAACCTAAGACTTACCTGATGGGTGATTAAGTGGCTTATACCTGGTAGGGCAGAGTGGGGTAGGTGTGGCTAAGGTTTCTGGGCTTTGGGGATGAGAGAATCACAGGAGACAGATGGATGGGAAGAGAGGAGGAAGGAGGATACCACAATGGGTTAGTGTGGAGAAGGAATCACATGGGTGAGGAGGAGGGTCTCTGAGGATGGCACAGATGGAGAAATCACCCAGTTAAAGAACACAGCAAGTATTTATAGATAGAAAGCAGTTCAAATGAGGATGATTATGGTGGATGGCATTGGATGGGGCTAAGAGATGGGTGGTGAGGTTATTTAGACAGCATGGGTAGAAGTATTGGCCCAGCCCAAGTGTATAAGACAGTTATAAAAATTAACAGGTGTCTCTGGCTTATCACTATTTGTGATAGTGGCTTGAATAACACCGCTGTGATAATCTTAGGGCAAATACTAATAAACATTATATAGCCCAACACTCATTTTTTATTTACTGTAACAAGGGTCATTCAACTTCCAAAGGTATGACCCATAGGTTGAGAACCTCTGTTACAGAGTAACAAAATATTTGTCTACCCATTATGGATTGCTAGTTTGCCAGGTCTTCAACACCTTGTCTGTCTCACATGAAGGTAAAGATGGGAAGAATACAGAATAATGAGGTACTGTATCAGTATAAACTTAATTTAGTCTGATCCACTTAAAATATTTTTTTCTTTCAAGTGTGAACCATTCTGTTTTCTTTACAGTTACAAAGGCTTAAACAATCAAGTATGAAGATTACCTCAGTAAAAGACTTGCACTAGTGGTTAATAATATTGTTGTTTTGGAAAATAACCAGCAGCAGCAAGGTTGAGTTATTACTGAAAGAACAAGTCTATACACTTTCATTTCTTTGTCAAGCCCATGTTTTCAACCTAGTTTCCAACTTTCACAGGAGCCACTGGCCACTTCCACTGGTTGGAAGTTCTTGAACAAGAGAACATTTTTTTGCCTCTGGCTCCGGCTTGTGCTGTTGATGCTTACTGGAAACTCGTTCCCATTGATATTATATTATCTTGCTAAACTGATATTCTCCAAGATGAAGATCACAGGCTGATACTTCTGAGGCTTCCTCTGCACCTTTTATGCATATCTATCAATTTTTGTGTGGATATGCATTTCTGTTTTTGTTTCATAGTGTACGCCTTCAGGCAGAAATCCCATATTATTTTATTTTCTTTGACAGCTCCTCCCCCATATGGGTAAATGATAAGTGTTTATAGCCTCTAAGAAGTGACAGTTAGAGCTTTGCAATAGAGTAAGAAAAAATACTTAAGTAAAAATGTATTTATATGAGAGGCATACTTGCAAAAAGTTGCTTTTCCTTATCTCTGTCGAAGTAATTTTTCCACTCCAAGATCTGTTGACTGTGTAGAATATTCTCTGAACAACCTGGTTTCAAAAAGAAAACAAAACCAATTTAAAACAGCTGAAATCTCTAATACTCCACTGAAGGCCAAATTATGAATATCTGTGGAACTGATTTAAGTAACAACTTCTCATGGCAATTGCAATTCCAAGTTAAAAACCAAAACAAAACAAAACAAAACCCTGTATATTCTAACCATACATATATATTTTAAGTTTGCCTCCATAAGAGAAAAAAACATTTCTTTTCATCTCCTAGTCACTTATATATCACTTCTGTTTCTTTTCAATTACACAGAGATGCCTTATTCAGGTTGTGCTTACTGAGCTGTATACGCTTGGGAAGGTAATGAGGTGCGAAGATTCTACTGTGTTGGCTCAATAACGAGTAAGTCAGAAGGATGGCTGTCAAACTAGTATAATTCACAGGAGCATTATTTAAGTTGTATTTGGGACCCAGCTTAGCTCTTTACCCACAACCTTCTCAGCCTTTACTCTTATTATTCCATCTGTATTGCTTCCTGTTAGTTGGTGACTCAGAAACATTTTCTACCAGGGACCCCACAGGCACCGCACTTGCCCAGGATCGAGAGAGGGGAACAGTAACCAATGAACATAACACTCACCCAACAAAGACCAGACCAGATATTGACATCATGGAAGTCCTCAAATATCCTACTCCTGATGACTAGTTCCCAGCACAAGAAGCAAGCTGGTGTAGCCATTTTAATAACTAAAAAAGCATACTTCAAACCAAAGGTAACCAGAAGAGACAGAAAAAAATATTACATAGTAATTAAAGGAAAAAATCAAAAGGATATTGAAATTATAAATGTTTATGCACCAAGCACAGGACCCAACTTCATAAAGGAAAAACCACAACAGCTAACAATCATATATTGACTTTTATTCAGTGATAGTGGGTGACTTCAGTACCCAACCCTTGCCAATAGAAACTAAACAGAGTAATGCTCGAGCTAAATAATGTCATAAATCAAAGGAACATAGTAGACATTTACTGACTATTTCACCCAAATACAAAAGAATATATTTTCTTCTCAGTAGCTTATGGAACTTTTTCCAAAATTGACCACATACTTGGACATGAAGCAAGTCTCAATAGATATAAGAAGACTGAAGTAACATCCAGCCTTCTACCTGACCATCACAAATTAAAGATTAAAGCTGGATCTCAACAATGGAAACAACACAAAGTACACAAATGCATGAAAACTGAACAGTTCACAACCAAATAAAAAAAATAGGTCAAGACGGAACTCAAGAAGGAAATGAAAAACTTTTTAAGGATTGAACGAAAATGAAAACACAACATACTCAAACCTGTCAAACATAATGAAGGCAATTTTAAAAGATGTGCTAATGCAGTACGTGCCTACATGAAAACAAAATGAAACTGGAGAGCTCACATAGTAGTAACGTGGTGACACACCTGGTAGCCCTAGAGCAGCACCAAGAAATAACACCCTAAAAGAGTAATGACAAGAAGTTATCAAATCCAGGGATGAAATCAGTGAAATAAAAAACAACAAAAATACAAAGAATTAGTGAGTTGGTTCTTTGAGAAAAATCAACAAAATGAACAAACCCTTAGCCAAATTAATGAAAAGACTGAGAGAGAGGGCTGGAGAGACAGCACAGAAGTTAAGAGCACTTGCTGCTCTTCCAGAGGTCCTGAGTTCAATTCCCAGCAACCACATGGTACCTCACAGCCATCTATACTGAGATTAGGTACCCTCTTCTGGCCTGTAGGCACATATGCAGGCAGAACACAGTATACATAATAAAAAAATATGTATCCTTAAAAAAGTGTGGGACTCCTGAGTGAGTTGTCCCAGAAGCAAAAAGACACGCATGGTATATACTCACTCATATAAACATACAACAGAATAAACCCTCTAAAATCTGTACATCTAAACAAACTAAGCAAAAGAGAGGACTCTAACTAAAATGTTCAATCCCCATCCTGAAAGGCAAAGAGGATGGACATCAGAAGAAAAAGAAAATAGGAAACAACCTCGGAACCTGCTACAGAGGGCCTCTGAAAGCCAGAAGAAAACAGGAAACAACCTTGGAACCTGCCACAGAGGGCCTCTGAAAGCCTCTGCAGTATAGACTGTCAAAGCAGATGCTGAGCCTGATGGCCAACTGATAGGCAGAGTGAATGGAATTTTATGTAAGAAGTGGGAAATAGTAAGAGCTGGAGGGGACGGGAACTCCACAAGCAGAGCAACAGAACAAGATAATTTGAACACAGGGAACTTCCCAGAGACTCATACTCCAACCAAGGACTATTCGTGGAGATAACCTAGAACCCCTGCACAGATGTTGCCCATGGCAGTTCAGTGTCCAAGTGGGTTACATAGTAATGGAAAGAGCGACTGCCTCTGACATAATCTGATTGGCCTGCTCTTTGATCACCTCCCCCTGAGGGGGGAGCAGCCTTACCAGGCCACGGTAGAGGACAATGCAGCCACTTTTGATGAGAACTGATAGACTAAGATCAGAAAGGAGAGGAGAACCTCCCCTAACAGTGGACTTGGGGAGTGGCATGCATGCAGAAAGGGGAGGGAGGGTGGGATTGGGAGGGGAGGAGGGAGGGGCTTATGGGGGGATACAAAATGAATAAAGTGTAATTAATAAAAAAAAAGTGTGGGAGAACATTAAAAAATTAAAAAAGTAGAGATGAAAAGGGTGACCATTAGAACAGACACTGAAGAAGCTCAGAGAATCATAAGGACAACTTTAAAAATGACACCCCACCAAACTGAGAATTCTTGGTATTTATAACCTACCAAAGTTAAATCAATTCCAAGTAGGCAATTTAAACAAGCCCATAATGCCTTGTACCCTTGAAAAACAAAAGCAGACAACCAGAAGACAAAATAAAACAGCAACAACAACAAAACAGCAAAGTCCAGGGCCAGATTGAATCAGCACTTCTACCAGAACTTCAAAGAAAAGTAAATACCAATACTCCTCAAATTACTCTACAAAATAAAAAATAAAGGGCCATTTTCTAATTCTTTTTATAATGCACTTTACCCTTATGCCCAAATCACACAAAGAGCCGACAAAAAAACTAAAGATCAATGTCCCTTATGGATGTTGATGCAAAGATTCTAAATAAAATACTTGCAGATTAAATCTAAGAACACAGGAAAATTAAAATACTTGCAGATTAAATCCAAGAAAATAAAAAAGATTTTCCACCATGATCAAATTCGCTTCATCCCAGAGATACAGGGATGATTCAACATACGTAAATCAGCAAACGTAATCTACCACATAGATTAAAAGACAAAAACCACATGATCATCTCATTAGATGCACAAAAGGCCTCTAAAGAAATGGACCATCCCTTCATGATAAAAGTCCTGGAGAGACTAGGAATATAAGGACATGTGTAATAAAGGCAAGACTACAGCCAATACCAACCCAAACAGGAACTCAGAAACTACTATCATCAAGAAGACAAGGACATTCATTCTCTTCATACCTATTGAATACAGTACTTGACGTCTCAGCTAGAGCAGAAAGACAGCTGGATAAAGGGAATACAAATAGGAAAGAAAAAAGTAAAAATATCTTTACCTGCAGATGATAAAATTTTCTACATAAAAGATCCCCAAAACTCCATCAGGGAACTTCTACAGTTGATAAAGACTTCCAGCCAAGTATCAGAATACAAAATTAACATTCAAGAATCAGTAGGCGAGCCAAGATGGCGACTAGCACAGTTTCTGAGCTGCGTAAAAGCTGAACGCCTGAGTTGGTGAGTGGAAGGACTTACGAAGCGGGGAAAATGATGGTGAGGCTTTCTAAATGACAGGGAACATCACATGAGTGAGAACTTTGGTCTCGGGTCACCTGTGGACTTGTTTGGGGAAGGAGAGAAACGATTTTGATCTCCCGGCATTCCCCTTTCTCGGACTCTTCAGCACAGCTGGCTCACTGAGACTCTTAGCTCAGAGCTCACTGCCTGGGGCCTGCAGTGGCTGAGGCAAGGCTCCTAGCCCCTTAGCGGCAACTGCCAGCTGTATCTGTCTTGGGGTCCCAGATCCGCTAATAGCCATACTGACTCTGCAGGGTCTCTCAGCCACTGACTGTACGACCCACCCAAACCCTCAGTGACAGATAATATGTTATATACCCACCAAAGCCCAGCAGACCTGCCATAAAAGTTAGGCACACCAGGTGCTGGGCCTCCCAGGCCTGAAGAGCACAGTGGAGGGCCCCTAGGACTTCCCAGAAGGCATCTGGATTGGCATTCCAGTCTCCAGCTGCAGCTGGACTTCCCTGGCAGCTGCCACAGCACTGAGCTGGCAGAGCTTGTCAGTCCTCCTGCATAAGACCAAGCAGGGCCAAACCAGAGAGCAGAGAGCCCGGATACCCCGATCCTTGCTGATGTGACCCACTTGAAAGTGAGTGCGCCCTTGAGTGTCTGCAGAGCCCCAGATCCAGGGTCCTTCTAAACTAGAAGCCAGGCATCGGACCCCTCCCACCCATATATCCACTGTATGAAACAGAGGGTCACTTGGGACATTGAAGCTCCTGCTCTGTGGGTCCAAACTGAGGAGTTAAGGTGGATAATGCTGAAATTGCACAGCAACCATCACTAGCTCCTGCTACATATACAGTGATGCACAAATAACCCCCTAGAAGCCTGCAAGGCAGAGCCTCTCCCACACACTCAAGGATTCAACATTCTCTATCACTCTGTCCCTCGAGGCACACTTACACACACACACACACACACACACACACACACACACACACACGCCTGTGTACTTCCTCCCACAGCGAATGCACCAACAAACACGCTGAGGCCACGGGACCTCTCTCAGCTTCCTGAAGAACTGTCTAGACGCCAGAGAGAGACAGTACCAGTCTGAACTGCAGAATCCAGAAACAAACAGGGAAGGTTTCAGACAAGCCAATGGCCAGGGGTAGGCGAAAGAACACATCCAACATAAATCAGGACATCATGGCTTCACCAGCAACCC